CAATGGTAAATTTTGTTACAAATGACATTAATTTATTTTTATTTTTAAAAGATATCTAACTAATTTGACAAATAATATGTATCAGATATTATAATATCTGATTCTATTTGTGGAAGATAAGGTTGTTTAAATATTGAAAAAAGTAATGTTTAAAACAGAAGATTGTTAGAGTCAAAGGAGAAATTCATTTAATAATTAGAATAGGAGTTCTCAATAAATAAATACCTTTGCTAAAACAACTCTGGAACAAATGGAACATGTGTTTATGTTTCCAACGTTAAAGTAAAGATGCAGAATTGTCTATTTTAATTTAATAATGCATAATAATCGGGAGGAGCTGTTTACGTTAAAGAAAGTGATGAATTATTGATAACCAATAGTTGGATACTGAAGAATTAAGCAAAGATGGGAGGTGGACTGTATTTGGAAGATTCAAACGACTTAGATTATCTAGCACTCCAAACCAAAATCAGCAATAATTCTGCCAAACTTTTTGGTGATAATGTTGTTGCAATTCCTTAGAAACTTACATTAGCTTAATTTGATGAAAAGACCTTATTTGAAACTGTATAAATTATAAACACAGATAATATTCTAATTGAATAAGTGAAACAATAATTATAGTAGATTCAATTCGATAATGAAATTCAACTTCCAAGTGGGTAAAAGATTTCTAGTTATGCTAAATTCGATAAGCATACTAGATCGTATTCACCATTAAATCTTATATTTAGAGTTATTGCTTAAGGTAGAGATTAATAAGTTATTAAAAATCTTAGAAACACATATTGTACGATAGAAAGTAGAATATTGAATAAATCCAATAATGATGATAGTGGGATCTTCTCAAATAATCTAACGAACATTTAGAAAGTGTTATTTAATGAAACTACTCAAGATTATAACTTAGATGAATTAATTGTTTATTTTAACAATGAATAGCCTCCAAATATTGTATTATAGCTATAATTCTCGTGTGATTCAGTAATCGTCCCAATATATAATAAAGAGTACCCTTATAATATATTGAATAAACATACAAACTATCATTTAAGAGTGAATATCAAAACTTTTGATTGTTAATATGGAGAAACAAAAAATTATACAGACTTTTCATGTATCCCATGTAACAGTGAGCAAGGATTATTTTCTTTAAAAATTGATTCTTAGAAATGTGAAATCAAAGATGATATCTCAACAATAAGTGTTTAGTCTGCTTTATTGAATTTAAAAGCTGGATATTGGAGACCATATTTTGAAACCAATCGAATTAGTAATTGCATAAACAAACCTGAGAATTGTTTAGGAGGATGGATTGAAGGTGATACATCATGTCTCAAAGGCCATATAGGGGCTTTATGTGAAGAATGTGATTTATATGCTATTAGAGAAGGAACTCACTTTTCAACCAGTTAAAAGTACTCCTGTGCTTCATGTTAAGAAACATCTAGGAATTTCATCTTGATCGCTTTTGTGACTATATGGTAATTATTTAGTGATAAATTTAAGGACTTTAATATCAATTTTCATATCAGTTTAAAGTAATCTAAAGTCTATTAAATAATCAATTAGAGTCACGAGTGTCCTTCTTATTAAATTAGCAGCAATTTAAATCAGTAATTAATCAGCAATTTTAATCAAAATATTAACTAACTATCTGCAAATTTTGGCTGCTATCGCTACATTTAAATTGAAATTACCAATCTAATTTCAAAGTACTATTGATACTGCAGGATCGCCAGTTTAAACAATGACATATTCAATGGATTGCTTTTTAGCTACCCTTTTCTCATTTGAAATTCAATATGCCCGAATGATTTGGTAAATTATACTGCCTTTTATTTATATCAGTTTCTTCTTCACATGCTACTTAATTGCAATTAAATTTAAACTTGCTAGTTATAATAAGAGCGTTATTACAACCACTATTATATACATGTACATCTATTTACAAACGAGTTTAGTCGGAGGATTTGCCCAACTTATATCCTATAGAAACATTTCAGGATACTAGTGGATCTAAGCAAATACTTCCTAAAGATTCGACACCTCTTATCACTATAGGTGGATTCTCTAATTTTGTATTCCTATGCTTACTCTTTTATCAATTATAATCCCATCTTATTTCCTATTTAGTTTGAACAGAAACTCTGAAAATTTGGATAAGAATCATGTAAAATCATAATGGGGTTATTTGTATAATGAATACAAGTACAACGCTTATTTTTGGGAATTAATCAAAATTGCATAAAAATAACTAATGATGATTTGCCTAATTTATTATGATGATAATGTAATCTTAAAAGCCACTATGGTTGCAATCATTATTGTAGTTTATTTAGAATTAAGTAAGAAATATAAGCCCTATAATCGTGATTAACTAAATAACTTAGATTGTTAAACTATGAATACATGTTTGGCCACAATAATTTTAGCAGCTGGCATTTATATTTCAGAATCCACTAATGTGGCTGAAGTAAAAATTCCATATTTTATGTTAATTGCTATATTGAATATCTTAATTTCTTATATTTTAATATCCAAAATTGTAGTGGAATATTTCAAAAAGGCAGGTCTTACGATGGAAAGAGTAGAAAAATTCAAATAATATATCAGAGAAGTCTTTCCTTTTCTTAATAGAGTTCCATTTATATCAAGATTATTAATGGACAATAGAAATAAAAGAAAAAGAATTGCAGAATTATATATGAAATTAAAATAATTTTTAATATCATAAGCTAGAGAGATAATTTTATTCAAGAGTTCTTAGTTGAAACTAGACAGTCATAGAAGTTCAGATCAATAAATTCACACAAATCAATTAAGCTTAAGAAGCTTACATCTTGGCAAAGATTAAGAATATTTAATTAGAGAATCCTTAAAATAATCTTCATTAAATACTCCTAAGAATGTTTTGGATTCAAATGTTTTCGATTAAATGTATTATATAAATCTATTATAGAAATTTAAAACGAAATGAATAATTGAAGTCTAAATTTAATACTTAAACGTAATTAAATAATAACGAGAAATTTAATGATAATAAGGAGGAATGAGGGATTTTACCATTTATTGAATTTACAATTATATATAATTTCCATTTAATAATTAACTTTTATAACATAAAATTCATCTTAATTTTATTAAAATAATTGAAGTGACACTTTTTTAAAGTAATGTTTGGTAATATTATCTATTTTTTATATGTTTAAATAACAAATACAATATTTATTTTATAATATTATTATTTATATTAAGAATGACTCCATATATAATTATATATAAATGCTAATTTACTTAAATTTTGATATATCTACAGCATCGAAAATTCCTGAATATAGCTACTAACGATATAACTTAGTTGAATTATTTTAGTTGTATTTATTTCTTAAAGATCTACCAGGACACTAAATTTTAACACTAATTTATTTTAGGTGTTAGCTGTTCTATATATCTATATCTACCAAGGGTTTGTTGTCTTAATTCGAGGAATTTTCAATTTCTTAATAAAAGTATCGGAGACTCCGAATTTACTTTCTCATAGACCTCTTTTGTTATAATTTTTAATTTCAATATTTTAAAAGGGTGAAAATTCTAGAGTATTATGGAGAGTGAATGATATAAGTTATAGTAAGTAAACAATTGCTTTAGACGCTTGTACTTTAAATTTAGCATTAATTAAGAGTTTTTCTTTGATGGATGCTTTCATAAATTATTTTATGATTACAATATTCTCAAATATTTAAAGTATGAATTTTTCTTTGCATTGTTTTACTGATTAAATAAAACATTAATGTATAAATTATAATTATTCATTTAAGCTTCTTGTTTTATAACAGAAATACAATTCTATAATCCAAAAAGATTCTTCTATTTTTAATTTCGGTTTTTGAAATATAAAAGGGATATGTTGGACGATATGATAATTTTGTTTATTAAATCTTTCTTCTAAATCAGAATAGTTTAAGTAGTTAATTCAAATTACTACCCAAAAATTAACAATATTAAGTATCCAAAGTCTCAAATTTCTAAGAACACTTTAGAGACTTGTTTCTTGAATGAGGTAGATAATTAGTGAATTCTTAAAGGAGTTATTTTGCTTAAATTGTAATGCTTAGTGATGATTGGAGATTTGTGGTGATAATATTTCTTTTATTCTGAACAAATAAAGAGCATCCACATATTTGTTTATAGTTCTTAGGTTCAACTTTAAAGCAGTATATAATTTAGTAATGACATTTTGATCCATTACAGAAAGGTCCTATATAGTTCTTATTATATAATTAGCCATGAATTTAATTTTAAGAAACTAATAAATTATTTAAAAGATGTTTGTAAAAGAATAAAAATAACCTGATGGTAGCCTAATTCTCTTTCCAAAATCAGAACATAAATATTCATTGATTTGGGTAATGTAACAATTTATAATTAGATGCATGGATTGGGGGATACTGCTTATGGATTCTTAAGCATGTTTTAAAAATAATAAATTGTCAACCCAGAAACCAAAGTACTTCTACTGTAAGCACCTAAAAGACGAGTTACTATAAATAAAGGCCATGTTAGTTCGAGTTGGTTTGATATTAAGGTACCGGAACCAGATATTGAAAAAAATTCAGATTTGGAATATTTTAAAACTGTAAATCTATTATTCATAATTAGACTGTATCTATAGATGAAATTGAGGAGTCAAAAATGATAATCAATAAATATTTAAATGAAGAGGTAGCTAAGGTATAAGCAAAAAATGTATTCATTGGAGGATTTTCATAAGGTTGTTGTATGGCATTAGAAGTTGGTTTGAGTTATTCTTAAAAACTTGGAGGCATAATTGGTTTATCAGGAGATCTATTTACTTCGACAAAATTATAGGAAATTTAAGATCAAACTCCACTTTTGATTATTCATGGAAAGGATGATTCAGTGGTTCCCTGTGATTTTTTATCACGAAGTCTTGAAAGACTGAAAACACCTAATCGCATAAATTATAATCATATCATACTACCAAATCTAGAACATGAAGTTAGTTATAAATGTGTTTAGTTAATGATCCAATTTTTCTAAAAAAATCAGATTTGAGTCAATTTATGAAAATGTATATTTTAATAATAACATATTTAATTGTAATAGTCTCCTTCTTCATCAGAAAAACAATATAATTTAATAACTTTATAGATTTTCTACAATTTAGAAGGAAAAATTGAAATTATTATGTCAATTTTGCTAATTGGACTGAACAACTCAAAATTATTAAATATATTTGAAATCTTATGTGAAAGAACATTCCTTAGTAAATTATCAAATTTAGAATAAATTATTTTTATTCGTTTTACTTGTTTTTTCAGGGTTTACTACGATTATTTTGAATAAATCACAAATATGAATGAACATTACGAAAATAGATAAAGATTTAACCAAGATCAATCATATTAAATTTTTAAATGAATAATTATCTACAAACAAACATTCATGATTTCATTTTCTATTAAAGTATTTATCTGAATTATTATTATTATAGCTTATAAAAGGTTGAAAGTGGTTCTTTTCAATAAAGAATGATTTCTATCAGGTTTTGAAAACAAATTTTTATAAAAATTAAATATATAAATAGGTCAGAGTTGCAACTCACAAAGAGATTTTTGGGAGATCACTAAAATCAGCTTATATTTAGCGTTTAACAAAGCTACTTGTAGTAATTTGGAACAGCGCTGTGAATATCAAATTTGATTATAATTAATTAATATGATTTCATATGCGTCAAATTAACCAGAGTTCTTGATTTCAAAGTTATAGAACTAAAATGTAATAGAATAGGAAGTTGACAAATGGGATTATAAAAAAGCGAGACTTGTAAAAACTAAAGTTCAAATCAGAATTACTTCAGAAAATAATCTTATTTACTCAACATTAGAAGGTGTCGTTTTGAGAGAGTAAGTGATAATTTATTAAGTTTATAAAGAGAAATTTATTAAGACAATTTTGGGTATTTGGAAGTTTTGAAAAATATTGAATAAATTGCACATCTCCAATGGCATGGTGAATATGGGCAGAATTATAGAAAATTAGGTAAATGGGAAGCCACATGGGATGGAGAAACTCTTTAAAATGTTGGAGGGTACTACTAAGAAGGTTTAAAGGAAGGTTTATGGAAAGAGCCAATTAAGAATTATTGGAGGTATGTATAACTAAGGAATGTAAATATAGTAAAGCCTAAGTATTTGAAAGTGGAGAATATTTTCACAATAAAAGGTAAGGAAGATGGAATTTTACCTAATAAAACAAAAATATGTATTATTATTGACTATTAAAGTAATTAAACTATTGGTGGTGGATCATACAATGAGTAAGCTAAGAAAAACGGTAAATGGACAGAATTACATGAAGGGGTATATGATGATTTATAAGTCACATGGGATGGCGAATACAAAAATGGTTAAAAAGTGGGTAGTTGGAATATTATGAATGACAATTTAAAGATGTAAACATATTAAAATAAAGGCTTATGATAATAAATAATATTTATAGTGGAGGTGGATCGTTTGGAGATGGTGATGGATTTAAGTAGGGAAGTTGGGTTGAATTATGGAATGGATTCACTTGTTTTAGCTGGGTGACTGAAAATGGAGAGTATCAAAATGGTAAAAAGGTTGGTAGATGGGATATGTGGTATAAGGACTATGATAATAAGCAAAGCTTTAAAATGTAAAAAAAACCATAAGTTTTATGCTGAAGTGGTGGTGGATTATATGATGAAGGAGGCAATAAATTAGGCAATTGGGTGGAACTATCAGATGGTTTTTCTGAAGGTTCTTAAGTTACTTACGTCGGTGTATATAAAAGTGGAACAAAAATCGGTCAATGGAATATTTGGTACAAGATGGAGTATGGTGATGAGAAAAAAGAAAGGCTGTAAAAATTCTATATAAAACTTGCATTTAATAATGAAAACGATTATTTTTTTTAGTGGAGGCGGATCGTATGATGAAGAAGGCAATAAGTTAGGAAATTGGGTGGAAGTATCAGAAGATTTTTCTGAAGAATCTTAAGTCACTTATGTTGGAGTGTATAACAATGGAAAAAAAGTTGGTAGATGGGATATATGGTATCAGGAGGATGATGAAAACATTAAAATGTAAGAAATAAAATACAAAGTTCATTATGTATGTTATAGTGGAGGGGGATAATATACTGATGGGATTAAATTTGGTAAATGGTTGGAAGAGTCG